TATTTTGTTTGCTAAATATTTTGTTAAAAACTTTGACTTTTCTTCTAAAAGATTGGTTAATTTCAGCCCTTAATGTTGTTAATTGACGTAACAGTGATTTAAAAAAAAAAGGACTAACTCGGCTCCTAATGGTCGCAGGACCTTTTTTCTTTTTTTAAAGTTGTGTTTTTTAATCCGCCTTCCGAATATTTTATTGCCATTTAATTTAAACTAAATAGTACGGAGTTATTGTAAATGTTTATAAACTTAAAAAGTGCTATTTATTAATAAATCATTTTGTGTACATAAACGTAATTTTTTTTAACTTTTTTTTCCACAGGATATTAGTATATGTCTCATCGAACAAAATAAGCCCCGGATTATTAAGATTCATTCAGTCAAATTATCTGGACCGGCTTTAGAAATTTGTGCATTTTTCAAAAAATCTTATAAACAAATTAAATTGTGCAAAAACTATTTAACGGATCTAGCCTATCTTTTGCACACACTTTGAACACGATGAGATCTTCAAGTTCAGATACATTTAAATAAATTTTATTGATTACTTAAAGAGTTATTAACAATATTCAAAAACAGCCGTTTTGCTTGTTTATTATGCAATAACTTTTTTGTTTATTAACCGATTTTAATTTAGTATATCTCGTTTTGTGTATTTTTTTTTCTCAACAACTCGTCTGTGGACGTCAAATCTCTAAATAGACAAGTTTATAAGTTATGAGCAAAATAATGATATTGACGTTTTAATTGTTTATTTAAAAATATTTCCACTAAAAAATTTATGAATCCCTAGATGAGAGTCTTTTTGTAATATCTCATACTACTTATTTCAACTGTCAAACCCGTCTATACACTTGTGATGAGTAAAAACCTAACTTGCTTGGCCTAAATGGCAAATTTCCTAAAGATACCTTGACTGGTTGCATCAACTTTCCTCAAAGTTTTTGTCAGTTAACTCGATCAAAGATGACCTTATTCAAAAGGTGTTTACAGATGTTGCTCCAAATTACAAAGACCATGATTGGTTGAGGATATATAGATCAGTTGATTCGGCTACTAACGAAGGAATTAAAGGTTGGATCGGTACTTATAATGTTGAGAAATATCAACCGACCGCGTCTTTGCAACGGCACACGATTAGCGATAAAAATTATTGAACAACGTGATAGAAGCAACTATACTGAAAGGAAAGTATAAAGGAGAAGACGTTTTGATACCAGGCATCCCAATGATTCTGACTGATGTATTATTTGAATTTAAACGACTAAATTTTCAGTGCGGCTTACTTTTGCTATGACCGTAAATAAGTCATAGCGGCATTCATTAGGTATTTGTAGTATTAATCTAGAAAACCCATGTTTCTCACATGATCAATTGTATGTTGCCTGCTCCCGTGTTGGAAAACCATCAGATTTTTGTTAATATCCATGTTATGATTCACTTGATTTACAATAAAGCGATTATTGAAAACACTTTAGGTTTTATTTCATTATTCTTTATTACATCGGTTATTAACCCTATGTTATTAATAATAAATAATTAATTATCTCTATGTTTTGTCTTTGAAGCAGCCACTTTATCAATATTTGTCACCTTTAGGTTCCCACTATCCCTTTAGATTATTTTTCAGTCAGGTTCGAACCTTAAGTTCCCCTCTTAGTTTGAAGCCCTCTGGCAGATATCCCAGTCGAGGTTTTTGGTGGGTCCAAGAGGGTGGCCAAAGTTCGTGGAAGCGAAGATACTTAGGTCACCCGAGCTGACCCTCACACACCGCCCTATCATCATGATGACGGTTCTGTTTAGGAGAATTAAAGAAATAAACTGCCACATTCCAAATCTATTTGACAGAACGAAGTCTGTCGGGTCCGCATATAATATATATATATATATATATATATATATATATATATATATATATATAGATATATATATATATATATATATATATATATATATATATATATATATATATAAATCTATATGATTCAAATATTTCGCAGACTTTTTTATGGATTCATGGGATTTTCACAATTTTATTTTAAAACAGTCTGTACCAATTAATAACTTATATCTTTCGACGTAAAATCATTATACACTAAAGTCCCAATTGTAATAGCTTTAAACAGTGTCACGACTAGATGTAATGACATCCAAACGCATACTTCTCTTCCTCTTGAAAAATTCCTAGAGGGTGTAAAATTCTGCCTCAACTCAACGTTCTCCCAACATGAAAATGAATACTATTCTCAGATTTCTTAAGTCGCCACAGGTTCGGCTATCTCAGCACCAATGGCAAACTTAGTAATGGATTTTAGTAATATTAGAAACAACAGTCATCTCTAAAATGAAATACAACATTCATTTCTACAAACGATATGTTGATGACTGCTTCTCCGCATTCCAGATCATGAAATCGATCATACTTTTCAAATGTTCATTAATTTACATAACGTCATTCACTTTACTTATGAACTAGAAGAACAAAATAAAATTATTTTTCTTGAGTTTAAGTTGGTTCTAACATCAACTAACAACTAACTAGTTTACAAAAGATGTTTGGTAAGATATCTAATTTTTTAATACCAACGCACCGATAGCCCATAAAAGAGGTGTTGTCTTTAGTCTTACTGACAGAGCAATCAAGCTATCTAGCCCACAATACCATTTGGCAAATTTGAGAAAAGTTAAAGATATTTTAGTGAAAAATTTATAATATACCAGAATTTTACAACCATCTAATTAAAAAGAAGAATTTATAGTATCAGAAATCAATCTAATTTCAATACCAAACCAAAACAAACCCAAACCATACCTAGCAATAATAATAATGTCACTAACTCAAACAAATACTATTATATCCTTACCATACATTAATGGAATTTCTGAACAAATGTCAAAAATGTTGACAAAGTATGAAATTAATGTTGGACATAAATTATCAAAAACATCTGGCAAATCTTTTTCAAAATTTAAACCCAAGGTTAATAAAGATTATCAATCAAATGTTATTTATAAAATGAATTGTAAACACTGTAAATAAATATATATTGGACAAATATACCAATACCTACATAGAAGGGTTGTTGCATACAAACATAGATTACAGACCAATGGATTAAACAAAACAACCGTTGTCAAACATTCTCTAGAAAAGTCATTCTTTTGATTTTGAAATGAGATATAAGACTGAATTTATTCAGAATTTGAACAAAAAGATAACCGAATTATGTCTACGCTTGTGCCTTGGGTATCTGAAATCTACACCAATTAATGTAATATAAATTGAAGCTGTTGAACCGCCATTGAATTTACGGAGGCAGTATCTTACCGATAAATATATATAGCTCGTACCATTAGCAGAGACCAAGTATTTCTCAAAGATATACACAATATGGCTGTTTTAGATTTGACTAAAAGATATTGGTTTAAGAAAAAATCTCCACTCGTGGCGGAAACCTACAGAAATCTGTCTAAATTTAAAGAGGTACTTTATAAGGGTCATCTTCCACCAGTTTATACTGAAAGCCTCATGTGCTGTTCTCAATAAAAATCAATACAGAATTTTTCAATGATGTCCAAGGCCCCATGTTTAACGCAGAAATTCAGAAGAGATGGCCTAATTATTATTATATGTTTACCGATGGTTTCAAGTAGGAGTCAAACAATTGACTCATCTTGATATAGAGATATTAAAATTGTACTACGAGGTTTCAAAACTCGGAGAAGTTATTATCGCATGGATCAAAGGTTATTCTGGGATAAAGGGTAATATAATTGCAGATGCTTTGGCAAAATAAGCATTATCAAGCGGAGAAACTACAGACAACAATATTCTACCGGTGTCAGATATAGATATATATATATATATATATATATATATATATATATATATATATATATATATATATATATATATATATAGTAAACAACGGCTCAAATTAAAATGGCAAGCCAATTATGCGGAATCCGAAAGTCAGTCATGATTTAAATATTGGCAACCCACACTTCTTAAAAAAAGGTGGTTTTATTCAGAATCCAACAGAAGTTTTATTAAAACTATTAATAGGTTAAGGTCAAATCATGCTCTAACACCTTCAAGAATGTCCAAAATGATCTAGCAGACAATCCAAACTGTACTTGAGGTAAATATGGAGATTTAACACATATCCTATTAGAATGTGTAAACCAACAAGAAAATATTACATGGTTTTATGAAAACTTACGAAAACTAAATGTCTGTTTCCCATTTCAAATAAATGAATTAATTTTCTCTAAAAACTTAGAAATCTTTAATTGTATTTATCAGTTAATAAGAAATGGTAAATATAAACTTTAAACAATATAATGTACTAACCCTAGAATTAAGATGAAACTTGTAAGCAATTTGCGAACATATCAATCATGTAATAAGCCTTTTAATACGAAAAAATGAAAAAAAATGGAAAAAAAAGAAACAAAAAAAAATAAATAAACAAAAAAAAGTATGCAAAACAAAATTAATATAAAAAACGGCCAAAACAAAATAAAATATAAATATATATATATATATATATATATATATATATATATATATATATATATATATATACATATTACATACAATATCAAAAAAATAATTCAAGGAAATAAAAAAAATAAAATATAAAATAAAAAACATAAAATTAAAAAAAAATAAAAATAAAAAATAACACAAACAAAAAAAAAACAGTCAAAACAAGTCAATTCTTTAACTAACTCGAACTCTGATTGTTGTTCGGTGAATACAAATTACAAAATAGTCTGGTCAATTGGCTATGCCAAGGCCATTAAAAAAAAGATCACCGAATTAGATCTAGTACTAAATCACCGAATTAGACCTACTAAACAACTTGATAACGCTGATGAAACCGGTCTAAACTAAACATTTTAAAGTTTGCCTACAAATAACCCAGTGCCAGAAACTGGCACTTTTTAACAAGGGATATCTAATTTCTAGGTCATAACAATATAAATACTGTACTCACATTCTTGGTACCTCTCGGAGATACGTTGAATCTCTTCGTTTTCATGTACAACCAATATTTCTACCAATGTATCGTCGTCTGTTCCCATTCCACTGATGGCTCTATGCAATTCTTCAACTTGAAAGTCCAACGGCTCTTTCATCAGAGCCAGTATTACGTCCTCGAAATCTCCTCCGAGTTCCCCTTTTAGAGTTTCTATTAAGTCCTAGAAAAACATAAAGAAACGCAAAAAATTAACATTTGAAAATAATTAGGAAATTAGTACTGAAAAATTTTGGTACATGGTTATAAATAAACGTTATTGAGACGACATAGTATGCATGAAGGTACAGAAACATGTTCAATACCTGTTAAATCTGTTTCTTAAAGAGCTTTCTTTAAGGCTGTCAAATATAGATTTAATAGCATACCCTACTTATAAATGTAGGGAGGATGGCTCAAGAAAGTGCCTTTAAGGCAACAAGTGCTCGGAGTCTAAAAATGAGACTGTTCAGACTTAACGCAAAACTAATTCGAGAAAATCACAATTTTGACCCCTCACTTAATAATTTAAGGGTCAAAACAAAGTAAGTATTCGCCAAAAGTATTTGGTTTATCGAGAATGGAAAGAATCAGGAATGAGGAAATACGAAACCGTACAGGAATTAGAGATACTCTTTCAGATAGAATACAAGGAAGGCAATTACAATGGTATGGTCACGTGATGAGAATGGAGGAGAAGCGGTGGCCAAAGAAAGCCTTAATGTATGTTCCGCTAGAAAGAAGGAAAAGGGGAAGACCACCAAATTCCTGGAGAAGAGAAATTACAAAAACAATGCAATCTAGAGGCTTAGAAGAGGGAGATTGGAGAGATAGAAAAAGATGGAGGCTGAAATGCGGGAAGCGGCAATCGCTTGATGTATTTGGTTTATGATAGCCAAGCTGCACTGAAGAATCCGAAGTCTTCTTTACTGAAGAACTTAATGAGCTCGTAACAACTTGAAACAGCCAACAGTTCCTAAACCAACTGACCAAACATACAAAGATATATTGGTTATGGGTATCAGCAGACGAAGGAATTGCTGGTAAGGAGATTGTTGATAGTTTCGCTAAAGAAGGAGCTACTGCTCCTTTTCTCGGACACGAAGTATTCTGTGGTATACGAAAAATCTTGGTTGTAGATGTTCAAAAATGGAAAAAGCACTAAAAAATTATTGCAGCTCAAAGGAAACTACACAGGTTATTACGAGATTTTGTTCGCTATGCAAAACTACTCTTTAGGAGCTTTAGAATACTGAACTTACAAGTAAGTACTGGTTTTAAACATATGTCTGAAGGAAGGAGAGTGTTGCGATATAAAAAAGAAAATTACGCTACAGAATATTTTAAGACTGAATAAATTGAAAGTTGGATTTTGATTTCAAATAAAAAAACTTCACGGGAAAAATCAAGTGCAAGTATTACCTCATTAAAAAAATGGCTCTAGCTCTACAAGACCCTAGATTGGAGAGTAATATAAAGATGACTCTCGGTTTTAAATAGTTCAATAATGATAGTGATAACAAAATACAATGTATAAATATTACCTCTCCAAACATGGTTTTGTAAGTATGTTCAATTTGTCGTCTTTGTTCATTTGATCTTCTTGCTAAAATCTCGATGATGGCATTTTCGTTCGTTCCTAGACCATCCATGGACTCTTTTAACACTTGTGCGTCTTCATCGTCTCTGAAGTTTTCGTAGGGAAATACTGTTGGCTATAAAAAAAGAAATAACATGTGTTTAGTATCAGTTAATTGTGAAGTTTGTATAGTTCTAATTTATTTGTCTTTATTCTAATTTATTGTCTACAATCTAATTTATTAAAACTCACGATAGCTAATTACTAATTTATTAAATAACTTTACAAATGTATTTATTTCACGTTTCGTTACATTTAAATACCGCGTGTACCGATCTTCTTATGACTGACTTCTTCAATAAAAATCTTTCATTTATATACACAACTGTGTCATCCAGAAAATTCGGCGGACTTCTTGAATAGTCTCGTATTTTGGTGAAGGCGCTCGACTCGTTTTTCAACCTCGAGACGTGGATGATTCACCAAAATTAGTGTCTAGAGATTTCTGGTAAACAACTGGTAGCTAAGCTCAGGTATATTTTTGACCTACAAATTACGAGAATCAATAAAAAGAATTAGTCATAAAATATTTACAGTTCTATATGCCATAACATTTAAAATCGTAACATTGCCCCCCTCTTAAAAGATGGTTCCTCCTGGAACCTTGTCGGGACTGGAACTGGAGCGGCATGCTGATATCGGCAACTGGACCCTCTTTTACACCTTCCAGTTGTATAGAAATGACAAGGGACAGTTTTCTCTCCGCACCAGTAACTATGCGGATTGCAACAGACTAACACCTGGACTTCGGTGTCTTTAAAGATTTCCTCCACCATGTTTCGTATAACCCTCCAATCTAATTGGTGGCACTCTAACTTTGGCATGGCTAACTTTTGCACGTCGGACTCTAGTACGTGCTCTCTCAACTGAAGTAAGGCTTCCCATACATCTCGGTAGGTAGGTTGGTCACGGGCAGTGTCTTTTGTTACCAGGTAGAAAAGGTAACGTGATGCATCTTGAAGTTTCAAGGTTTTACCAGGAGCTGGCACTTGGCATTGAAGTTCTGCAACTCGACCAAACTTCCTTCGAAAGACGGATGCCAACCCTGGTGCATCTTTGATACTGGCCGGGATGGTAAGGGCCAGTGAATAGTCATCGGGAAGCGCGAGTAGATCTTGCCTTTCTTCAGTGGTAACACCATGTCTTGCTTTACCGGTACCTCCATAGGCACCCATGAATTCCTCAAACGTGAGGTCAGACACATCTTGGACTTGGTTTACTTCCACTTCTTCATCTACGTCGTGGTCACCCTCGAAAGACGCCAACCGGTTATGGTGTACTATCATCGGCTTTCCTCTCGGGATCTTGCTTATTCGGTAAATAACATCATTGATCTTCTCCATAATGAGGTATGGACCTTCCCAAAACTGCTGCAATTTGGGAGAACAACCTTTTCGCTTTTTGGGGTTATAAAGCCAGACTTTATCGTTCTTCTTAAAACACCCCTTTTCGGCTTGTGTATCGTACCGTTTCTTCATTCGGTCACTAGCGATTTGGAGATGGGAACGGACCAACTCGTGTACATCGTCCATTCTTCTTCGCAATTCGATCACATAATCTTCACCTGCTACATCTTCTCTAGGTCGACATCCAAACTCTAGATCACAAGGTAGTCGCATCTCGCGTCCGAATAGGACTCTGGCTGGTGTCTGGCCTGTTGATTCATTAACAGCAGATCTGTAGGCCATTGTGAAGAACGGGAGATATTGGTCCCAGTCTCGCTGATGATCGGACACCATCTTTGTCAAATACTTGCCAACTGTTCTATTCATTCGTTCTACCATACCATCCGATTGCGGATGATAAGCCGTAGTTCTTGTTTTCTTCATACCTAGTCTATCACATATTCCTTGGAATAAATCGCTTTCGAAGTTCCTGCCTTGGTCACTATGGATCTCCAAAGGCACTCCAAATCGGCTGATATATTCTTGGATCAACTTATCTGCAACGGTGGCCGCCTTCTGGTCTGGAAGTGCGTAAATCTCGACCCACTTAGTGAAGTAATCCATTACTACCAACATGTACTTGCCTCCATTATCACTTTCTGGAAACGGCCCAGCAATGTCCAAAGCTATTCTTTCAAACGGGCTTCCAACATTATATTGTCTCATAGGAGCTCTCCTTTTTCGATAAGGCCCGTTACTCGTAGCACAAATAGTACATTTCTTACACCAGTCTTTTACATCGTCGGAACTGTTCATCCAATAAAACCGTTCCCGAATTCGCTGAAGGGTCTTCTTCACACCAAAATGCCCTCCTGATGGACTGTCGTGTAACTGACGAAGTACTTCGGCTATTCTGCTCTTTGGAATCACCAACTGTCTTCTCTTCTCTGAACCGTCATCATTTTCCAGGACTCGTTTGAGCAAGCCATCTTCCATGATAAATGAGTCCCACTGGGCCCAATACGTCTTCACTACTGAGCCTAGGTTCGATATTTCTTGCCAAGGTGGTCGACGGTTTTCCTCTTTCCATTTTCGGATTTTCTGTATAACTGAATCTCTCTCTTGTTCTTCCCTGATCTTGGTAGGCGTCCAGTCGTCGTGAACCACCGTCGTTCTTAGCACTGCTGCTTCCTTGGATTCCGTTTTGTTGCAGTGAGAACACTCTGCTGGGCATGGCCTTCTGGAAAGAGAATCAGCGTTTCGGTGGCTAACTCCGGCCCGGTGCTCAATCTTAAAATCATATTCTTGGAGTCGTTCGATCCACCTGGCTATCTGACCCTCTGGATTCTTAAACTGCATCAACCACTTAAGGGCGGCATGGTCGGTTCGGATTAAAAACTTCCTTCCATAGAGGTATTGATAGAAGTGCTCTACTGATTTCACTACTGCCAGAAGTTCTCTTCTCGTGACGCAATAATTTCGCTCAGGTTTTGAGAGAACTTTACTAAAATATCCAAGGACTCTTTCCTGTCCTCCTTGAATCTGAGACAGCACTCCTCCAATTCCCACATTACTTGCATCTGTATCTAAGATGAACTCTCCTTCTGGCAGTGGATACCCTAAAATTGGTGCTGTGATTAAATGCTTTTTTAAGGTTTCAAAGGCATTCTGGCAGTCTACATCCCAGCGGTATTCTCTTGCTTCCTCTGTAAGTCGCGTTAATGGTTTCGCGATATCTGCAAACTTCTTAATAAACCTCCGGTAGTAAGTACACAGTCCCAGAAAACTTCTCACTTGATGTTTGTCAGTTGGTTTTGGCCATTCCTTAATAGAATCGATTTTTCCCTTATCCACGGCCACTCCTTCTTTACTGACTATATGACCCAGATAATTGACTTTACCTTGAAATAGCTGGCACTTCTTGGGGTTTAACATCAATTGGGCAGCTTTAAGTCGATTAAAAACGTTTTCTAAATTCTTCAGATGGTCTTCAAATGTCTCCCCCAAGACGATTATGTCGTCTAGATAAACTAGGCATGTTTTCCAAGATAACCCTCTCAACACATTTTCCATAAGCCTCTCAAATGTCGCAGGAGCGTTACAAAGTCCAAATGGCATAACGTTGAATTGCCATAATCCAGATCCTGTGGTGAAGGCTGTCTTTTCTTTATCTACCGGGTCCATTTCTACCTGCCAGTATCCAGACTTCAAATCCAAAGTGGAAAATAATTTACTTCCAGCCAATGTGTCTAATGTGTCATCGATCCGAGGCAGAGGATAACTATCTTTCTTGGTAACGTTGTTCAGCAAACGGTAATCCACACAGAACCTCGTTGTTCCGTCTTTCTTCTTAACCAGGACCACCGGAGAGACCCATGGGCTCGTAGAAGGTTCTATCACCCCGTCTTTCTTCATTTCCTGAACAATCGTTTCAGCTTCCTCTCTTTTCGTCTGTGGTAATCGTCGAGCTGTTTGACGAATTGGCTTAGCATTACCAGTATCAATTTTATGCTTAACGACGGTAGTTCTTCCCGTCTTTCCTCCTTTCGGTACGAAAATATCACGATACTGCCGAAGAAATTCCCTTAATTTCCTTTTCTCAATCTGATTCAGAGACTGTCCAGCAACCGCAACCATTTGATCAAATTTATCGTTGGAATTATCAGACGTTGTCGTCTGACGGATTATGGATGTGACAGGTACACAAGTTCCTACTTTTGTCTCTTTCTTGATGGTCACTGGGTAGTCATTGACATTAATAAGTCTCACAGGAATTTCCTTAGCCGAAGTCACTAATTCTTTTCCAATTATGATTCCACGGCCAACTTCGTCGTCATGATTCCAAGGCTCCATCATAACAGGTGTTCCTTCGTCCACAATTCCCTGTAGCCGCGCTACTATTATCGTTTCACTTCTCGCAGGCACGACTGTATCTTCTTTAACGGCTGCTTGCATAGTGTTGTCATCATGTGGATGGAGAAATACCTCCTCGTTACCAACTTTGATTACTTTATTTTTAAAATCCAATTGGAATCCATGCGTATTCATTACGTCCATTCCTAATATAACATCCTCTTCGATGTCAGCAACTATAACAGTATGGACGAACTTTTCTGCTCCAATTCCTAATTGTACCTGGATTTCTCCATGAATGTTAGCATTTTCACCTGTAGCGGTCCGCAGTCGCAACCTCGTTGGTAACAGTTTCTTACGGCTGTTTATAACTGTCGGGCGAATAATGCTTCTGGTCGCTCCCGTATCCACCAACAACGTATGCTTTTTACCATTTATTTCTCCATCTACATATACACTATCTTCACGACATTTCAAAGAAGCTATTAGTATCAGATGGTCTTTGGTAAAGTTCTGGGTCGAAGCTGCTCCCCTAAGGCCGACGCGTTCTGGTTTTGTCTTCTGTCTTATGGTCTTCGTTTTCTTGTGTGTCATGCTTTTTATCATATTAAAGAGCTGGTCCAGTTTATCTTCATCTTCTTCCTCTTTTACAGTCCTAACTTTACTGTAACCGCCAGAGGCCTGCGTAGCTGACTCGTATTCGAGGGCGGCGGATAAGACATCAACCAGCGTCTTGTGACGAGCTAATCGTAGTGTTCTTTGCATCTCATGATCACGAAGACCATCAATAAACGTTTGAACGGCCAACCTTTCCATCATGTCTTCGGGAGCTGTTGGA